CACTTGTGATTTAACATGTCTTAATATAGGCGCAGCCTTTCTTCTTAGAGTTTATCATCACTTATTGTTCTTTTCAATATGCCAGTAGCAACCAGTGATGCAAAATATCATGACACTCACGTGACACTCGTCTTCGCAGACTATCGCTTACAGATCGTTTTGTCACGCAGTGAGAGTTAGAGCCATGGCAAACAACAATCACCAGTAATGGTCGCTGCTCTCAAGCAAATCGTTACACTCGCTGCTGATAATGAAAAGCACAACGAAAACAGTGAAGACTTCTGCAGTACGATCATGCGAAAAAGTGAAACGACAGAAGAAAATGAAAACAATGCCTTCGCATTCCAAGTTCGTCTCGGCAGGCGCGAGTGTGTGAGTTACAAACAAAGCAGGCAACATTAAACGGAAGCTGTTGGGCTCACTCACCAACACACTCACATAAGCAAGCAAAGCAGCAACTGCTTCAAAACGAGCGCAGATGAGTGTCGTGATTGTCAGAAATGACCAGATCGGTGATGGATCACAACAGAAGACGAGATTCACCAGTTGCTTTTTACTTCTTTCGTCAACTTGATGGATGGTCATGGAGAGAGCTTCGACGAGCACATTGATAGGAATGTACAAAGCGTTACTACCATCAGCTGTTTGATGATGGTGATTGTGATAGGTCGCAACTCCTAGGCTCATGCGTTTTTAGTCCTTTCGGGGTTGATATTATAATCAGTCCCGTTATACTTGGCAATATTCTGGACATTATTTGTAGAATGTTTTTTGCTTTTATCACTTGATTGTCAATCACTACTATGTTGGTCACACTAACGTTAACTTTTACTTAATAGTTTATCGAGTGGATTTTTAGAATTTGTTGGAAGTTTCACTTTTCCAGAGCTCTTAATATTTGCTCCACTAGTTTTGTTTTTACTTTAATGTTTATGGTGGATTTCAATTTTAAACCTTTCAGCAAGGCTGTTACTACACTTTTTAGTTCTTCAATTTAAAAAAAAAATCCACTGTAATTTTCAATTAGTCTTTGAAATTTTATTTACTTACAGTCACTTCCGCTAATGCCATCATTGATCTGGCTTTTTTCAGTGCTTTACGGTTAAAATACCGTCTTGCTTCCGTCACTACACTTATGGCAAGCTGCATAATTGCTGCTGTTAATATGCACCATAACAGAAATTCATGATTGTCAAGTTGTTCGGAGTGTTCGTTATTATTAATTTTTATTTGGGCATCACCCACATGATGCACACTACGTTTGGACTATTCGTTGCCCATTTTCTTTTAATGCTTTGATTCACTGTTCTAAGTATAAATTGTTCACAATTACGATGCTTTATTTTCTTCAGCGCGGATTCTATTCCAACGCTCGCGTTCGTTTTCGTAGAACACTTTTTTCTCGGCTTTCTTCATTCTTGCCGGAGTTTTTCGAACAATCTTCCTGTTTTTCAACTGTGGCACGTACTCGGTTTGATTCGCGTCGTCCCAACACTCGTCCTCCATTTTTAGTTCGCTTTTTTTATTCCAAGCTCCATGTTCCATATTACGACTGTTTCTTCAATCACACCAAAAAATCGGTCGAAATTCGCACGTATTTTACGCGGCACTTTTTGACTTTGTACGCGGGCTACTCAGGTTCATAGTTTTAAAATTTTCACACAGGATACAACTGTCCTGTCGCTATATATATACGATGCTGGCGTGTTACAAAACTACATCACACAACAGCACTGTGGTTTATCGCGGTAGAACTTCTTTCATACGAAAGTGAATAGTCGCGGTGGACGTTCAAGACTTAGACTTAGTGGTATTTACTGGATGGACCGTAGATCACTAGCCAATGGCTTTCTTCAGTTTGCGGTCTTCCCAAAGGGATCGCATTGAAGTCAGAGTCGTGCTTGAACAAGACTAACTTTATTTCATAAGATTTACAGAGTTTATATAGTCGAAAACGGCTTCAATATTTTCTACGGTTACAATTGACTTTTCTTTAAATCTAGTGTATTAAAAAGAGATAGAAAGAGACGCCTGGGAAGGTGTTGACAAGCATTGAACAATTTTGGCTGATTTGGTTTTACGCGCTCATCGATATAAGTGTTGTGATATTGGACACTTTTTATTGCCCTTTCTGGTTCTACTAGTTCGAAACCTTTTGGTGCGCCGAGTCTGGAAAAAGGAAACTCAGCAAAACACACGTTCGGCTTGTTCGCTATGTGCAATCGCACCATGCATGCATTTCTGACCGTCCTTATTCTATCGCGGTACTATGTGGAGATGAATGAAGTAAAATATGAGTTAACGGTAACGTTTGTAAATTGAGTTGTGGATACGCTTTACTCTACTAATTGATTGATCAGGAAGATGCATAGTACAGAATGCCTTCGTCTTCCACCTCCGCTTGCTTACTTTCGTTTTCCACATTGTCGTAAGTATCCGTTGGCCAAAGCTGTAACTAATCGCCTGATGGTCACTATGAGTGTACTCCTCACACACTCTCCAGTTCATACTTGCCACTAACGACGGACTGCAGAAAGTGACGTCGATAATGGATTCCCTACCATCTTTGCGGAAGGTGCTGATGGTTTCTTCGTCGGCCAGACTGACGTCCAACTTTGCCAGAGTTTCCAGCAGGCTATAACCCTCTTGTGTTGGTACATCTGCTTCCCCAGTCCACTGCCCAAGCATTGAAATCTCCTCCAATGACGATTGGTCTCCGTCCGGTGAGCTCTCCAGTGAGTCCATCCAGCATCTGGTGAAACTGCTCCATTGTCCATCTCGGGGGTGCATAGCAACTACATACGAAGGTTCCATTAATTTTGGCAATCACAAAACCTTCGTAAGACCTCGTCACCACTTCTTGTATGGGATACTTACCGATAACTTGTATTGCCGCCATCCCTGCTCTATCGGCCACCCAGTTATCATTATCGGGAGGGACTCGATTCGGCTCCGCAATCATTGCAACGTCACACTTTGTTTCCGTTGTCGACTGCCACAACAGTTGCTGTGCTGTGTCACAATGATTGAGATTTATTTGGGTTATCTCCATTACTATTGGCCCGCTATCGCCTTTTTGTAAGCTGGGCACCTGAAACTTCCCGTCATATGACCGTTTCCGTCCTCCTTTCTGCAGAGCATGCAGATCGGTTGCTTCATACAGTCTTTAGCAACGTGCCCCTTCTCTCCGCATTTCCTGCACAGCTCCGATCTATCAGGGCCTTTGCAGTTTCTCGCCTGGTGACCAAAGTTCATGCACTTAAAGCATCTCTCCATTTGCTTGGTAACCCGAGGGATAGCTTTCAGGGGACATACTGACCACCCAACCTTGACTCGTCCTGTCTTCAGCAACTCGTTAGCTGCGTCCGTCGCAAGTCGTATCGACGCCGTTTGTGTACCACCGTACGCCTTCCTCAACCGGATTGTCATAGGCACATCTCCCAAATTGCATTGCACCTTCAGCGCACATCGTACCTCGTCTTCCGTTGTGATCTCATCCAGATCCTTGCACTCGACCACTGACTCCTGCGATAAGGCTCTTACGTTCGCGTCCTCGCCAAGAGATTTTTCGACGAGTTCCTTGAAGGCTGAACTCCTCACCGACGGATCCTTCTTCAGCTGGAAGAGTATCTCTCCTTTCCACGTTCTCACCTAGTTGCTTCAACTCCGGATCCTCTCTCACTTTCCGGAGCAGTACTGCGTATGTCGTTTTGTATTTCGCCTCGATAACCAGAGCGTCGCCCTTACTTCTCTCCCTACGATGCCTGGGGTTTTCCTTCTTCTTGACATCCTTCTTCCTCTCTTCCATCTTCTTCTTCTTCTCTTCCTCTTCATTCTTCTTTTCCTTCTCCTCCTTCTTCTTCTGTTCCTTCTTCCTTTGTTCCTCTTCCTTCAGTTTTTTCCTCTTCTCCTTCTGGTTTTCGACTTTACGCCAATCACTGTCTTCTCCATCTTCTTGCTCCTTGTCCTCGTATTCGTCGTTCTTGTGTTTTTTAGGGTCCTCTTCGTCTCCTGGCGTTTCCCTATCTCTTGAAGAATACTCACAATTACTTTTTTTTTTTTAATTAACTTGTTATATTAAATCAAATATTAAAAATCCATCATCAACATCGTGGAGAACAAAATAGTGTTTGCAACGCTACAATGTTCTATTAAAAAGTCGTTATGGCAGCTATGCATATAAAATAATCCGTTAGAGGTAACTTCTTCAAGATACATAATTTGTCAACTCATCAAAAAAAAAATCACTGTATGTTCAAGATACAATTTTAAGATGTGAAATGCGGTGTCTCTTAAATTCTGTAAGTGTTGCTGAACGTTCAATATTTCTAGGCATCGCATTGAAAACATTTAAAATGCAATGAATTCCGTGAAGCACATATCAAGATGTGTGGTGTTCTTCTTTCATCCGCGTTTCTAGTATTATATCTATGAAAATGACTTCCTCTTTCAATTTGATCACATAAATATCCAGGCAGCAAACCGTTATCTACTTTAAAAATGAACACCATAGCCAAATATACTATTTTTTGCTTCACCGACAACCATTTTAAAGCGTTCAGCATCAAAGTTGAGGAAGTGAATCTACATATTACATCTTAAAATTAAGCACATGGTTTTATTCTGCAAGCGCTGTAATCTCGATATTTGTGTTTCATTGGCTAAAAATAAAATGGAAGGGCAAAAGTATAGATGAGGAGAGATTATTGATTTGTATAGCTGTTCTTTACTGGTAATAGGTAAATCGTTTTTAATCGACATAGAATTTCCTTCTTGGCAATTTTCTTGATCACATTGTCAATGTGAGAGTTGAACTTAAGTTTGCCATCAATAATCCTGCCAAGATATTTAAACTCCCGAAAGCGATCAATAGTTGCGATTTTTTTAATGAAATGACAGGGCCAGTTTAAAGAGCTGCTTATAGTGGTGTTCCTTTTGTGTTTTTCAACTGTTCATAATTGTCTTAACATGGTCACTGAATTTTAATTTACGTTTTTCAGGCTTTCGAGGAATTGGACGATTTACTTACAAAACATGGTATTTGTATAGCTATTAAGGAAAAGTTGGTTAAAGATTCAGGCGTAGCGGAGAAGATCGCATACGATCATATAGTATTAAAATTGTTAACAAAGCCAAGAGCCAAAGGTTATATACAAATACTAATAATTATCTGATTAAACTTTGAACTCAGTGATAATTTGAGCTATCTCATTCACAGGTGTTATAATATTTGGTTCTGACCAAGAAGTGGCCGAAGTTATGAAAGCAGTTCGCCGGCAAAATGTAACGGGTGTGTTCTCTTGGATAGGATCTGATGGATGGAGTGCCAGAAATCTTGTCTCAGATGGCAACGAAGCAGAAGTTGAGGGGACTTTATCCGTACAACCACAAGCCAATACCGTGTTAGGTTTTGAAGAATATTTTCTAAATCTGACCGTTGAAAATAACCCCAGGAACCCATGGTTTGTGGGTAAGTTTGTTATACCCCGTTCACATTACATCGTATATTCGATACAATACTAGTTTCAATCTCCATATACATTGATGCACATTTCATCCGAATTTGTTACTTTGCGGCAAACAAATAGTTATATTGTTTAATTGTCAGAATTACCTCAAAGCATTAGATCCGGATGCATTTTGCGCCACTCTTAACATTAACTCTTTGCTTCCCATGCACAGGTGACCCACAACTAACTATTTGGTACGGCTTAAATTTGTCAATACAGTATAACATTGTCAGCACCTCATTTGTTGCTCATTATTTTCATCAGGGAATCAAAATATCTCAAAATGCCAAACAACAAACGATCAACGAGCAACGTAATAATGACAATATCCTTTTGCGGTTTTTCATGAAAAACTACGTCTGAAATATAGCTTAATCAACGGTAGATGGAAAAAGCTAAATTGTATGGCAGGTTTTTCATAACATACGCAGGAGATGATACGAGGGGCTATCATTTTACCATTCCGATCACCTGTCGTCAATCGCAATTGTTACAAAAAATATTGCAGGCAATTTTACCGTTTCCCTTGCACCGTTACAATCAAGCTATATAACAGAGAGACTTGATCGTGCTAGTTGTCACAAGAGTTTTGTCTTTATTTGGTTGCTCTCCCTGTTTTGATTCTCTGGTTTTTATGTATACCTATTCTTATTGTTGTTTCAACAATTCAACTATTGATTTAAAAAACATTAAATACTACAGATTTTTATCACCCACTTTTTTAAAGAATTCGATAATTTTAGGATGTATGGAAAATGTTTTGTTATAGTACTTTATGGAGAGGGTTAACCACGGTGTCTTTGACAGAACAATATTAGGCCGGAACAAATCTCAACTTTTTTGAAGTGATCAAACATATCCCGAACCCAAGATTTAAAGGATTCGTTTCGCATTTTCTTGAGTGAAGTTAGCTGATTTAATCCCTTTCCTAAATAAATCCTTCCTGCATTGATTAAACTTTTTCCGAGCTGAAACTAAACTTGTCAGAACGGGTTTGACATGTTCCTAAGTGAGCCCCAGATTTTTGTTAACTAGCTTTCCAAAAAGTGTAAAAAGTTTTCCGAAGTGAACCGACACTTTTTTGAGTTTAAATTTTCCAAACAGAGTCCAACCTTTCCTGGTGTTTCAATACCTTCCTTAGGAAGTCCAAACTTTTCTGTTGAGTGATTGAATTATATTTAATGTTAGCCTGAGCATTCCTGAAGTGATTTAACTAACTTTTAACTTAGCGCTCCCTTAGACCCCTTCCTCGTTCTTGGGGCTTATTACGGATGTCACTTCACGGTGAAAACTTGTCACTTGTCGTCACGGTGAAGTGAATCCCATTTGATTTGTACGGCAATCACGGCTCTTATTCCGAATATCACTTCCTTATCACCGTGTAGTGACACCCGTAATAAGGCCCCTTGTGAGATTCACATCCTTTGAAAATTAGGCTGAGATTTTAAAAAAATGGATTTTTGTGTGTTCATACCTGATGGTAGATTTTTGAAGCAAGCACAATTATTGAGAAAACTGAGGTTTACATCCACAAAAGCACGTATTTTTATAGAAATTTGAGTTTCATGATCAGCCAAGTTGGATTTTGGCTCCGTCCTTTGAAAAACAGGCTTAGATTTGATAGAATAGACCTTTGTGAGTTCATACGTGATGGTAGATTTGTTTGAAGGCAGGTTGGATTTCGATTCTATCGCTTGAAATTTGTGCTTGGATTTTATAGAATGGAACTTGCTGAATCCATACGTGAAGGAAGTACCTGGTTAATATTCACAAAAGAACGTTAGGTTAGGTTTTCTTTGTTAAGGAGGCTTTCAGCCTGGGGCTGGTTTACCTCCAGTTTCACAAAAGTAGGTATTTTCATAGAAATTTGGTTTTTCTGGATTTTGATACCGTCCTTTGAAAGTTATGCTTGCATTTTATAGAATGGACCTTGCTGAATTCATACGATGATTTTTTGTTTCAGCATACACAAAGCCAGGTTTAAATTGACAAAGTACGTATTTTCATTAAAATTTGCATAGTTGAAGATGCTAATTTCAAATAACAGGCTGTAGTGGTAATTTTTATACGATAGATGGAGTAGATGAAAGCATAGAGATGATAGTTCCGTTAGAGTACGGTAGTGTGAAGATTGCATATAGATATTAGAATAGAGAGCTAGGACAACTTTTAAGGTTTCATCGGTTTTTTCATCTCTCTTTACCAAACTCCCTCCAAAGGCGGAGTTTGGTTGACTTCACGTAGAAGTAATACTAAAACATATAGTCAAAGTATTAAAATTTGGTTTTTATGTTCAGCCAAGATTAATTTTGGTTCCTTCCTTTGAATATTAGGCTTGGATTTGGTTGAATAGACCTTCCTGAATTCGTACGTTTAGTTAGATTTTTTGATGCACACACAATTGTTGAGAAAACTGGACCTAGTGCCACGCTGTCCGAAGCGGTAATGAGCAAAGGCAGGAAAGCATCGCTGTTCTATATATTTTCAAGTTCAAGCAGAATGATGTGCAACCAAGTGGCATTCGTTTATGATGACTGGGTTAGCGGAAAACGTTTAGTTCATGAAAACAGTGATAAAATTATCATTTGTGCATTCTTCAAAAGTTTTTTGATTAGAAATTGGAAAAGTATTTATTTCAGCAGATTTTTTAAGCAATATCCTATCGATTGGCGTATTTTGATTTTAATTTCATCTATAAATGACAAAGTTACAAGCGTTCTAAACGTAACACTATTTCACCACGCATATTTTTGATTTGTACCCCAGTATAGTCAACAAAGACGTAGTTCTACGTCAAAACTTGTTATTTGATCCGGCCTTATTAAAAAAAATAAATAAAACAGTTTCACTGAGAAACCCTCCCAGAAAAGCTTATGCTATTTTCATACATTAGTTTTTTTTTTGAACTAGGTATTTTTTAAGCAAACAGCTTTCTCTTTAACCCATGTTAGTCAACGATTGACATGGGTAAGAGAATTCGTTGAATAGTTTAATCGGATTTCTCTATCTAGCATACAAAGGTGAAATTTCCTCACAATTTCCTCGCACTTGTTCGATTAGAAAGTGCAATTGTGAGCAGGGCTCTACATTTTAGTAGCTCTAAAATGGGCTCGAGTTTTTTTTTCTTTTTTTCAGACAACGTGTTTAATGCATCATTTCAATAACGCCCAAACGAAAATGAAAATAAAGCACGCTAAGAACGTATGGCTAGCTTTTTTTTTTTGAGCGACCGTGTAAAAAAACCGTGTTATTTCGAGAAACTGCGTAAAACACGATTTTGTGGATAGATATTGCGAACGGTAGAGGCCGAAAATCAATATCCAATTATATTTTAAATTACATACTTGATAGGTATGTGACCCCCTATCGCAAAACTCAGTCATGGCATGGGTACGATGTATGTTTGTATGCCTCACCCCTGCCTACTGTGGCATATTTCACCAACACAGTAGGCCGGGTGATGAGTGCCAGTGAAGGTAGTGCACTTGGGAGCAATGTTTTTTTTATGGTAATCTGTCCAGGACTTGTTACAGCTAACAATCAATGATGTAACTAGGCCCGGACTGATACTTTATAAACTTCCTCAAGTTGCAATTATATTAACACACTAATGTACTGCCGTTCTAAGCATATCAGTCCCATATTTCAAAAGTTGCTTCTGAGAAAATCGCGAGTAATGTTTCGAATCATTTCTGTTCATCCGAAGAAATATACGGTAAAATAAGTTAGCGCATTGTTCACATTTCAACAGAATCAATATGTTTCAGTGAAAACTACAGAAATTACCTTCAATTAAATCAATTAAGCCTATTTTTATACGAACAATATTTAATGGGACTGTTATGCCTAGAAATTTGCAATGAAGTATGCTTTCAGTGTGACTTTGATGGCCACGTTGCGTTTAACGTCTTTACTCTTGTGCTTGCATGAGCGTGCTTGCATTCTCCGCGAAGTTTTGGAAGATCCTGTGTAGTTTGTATAGCTTTCCATCATTAAATTATACCAACAAAAAATTTGTTGACATTTCTATAAAACCACTAAAAGTATGGGCATCTAAAGAAACTAATGATGAATGCACTATTTTCATAGAATATAAACTTCTTAGCATCTTGTTCTACTCCTTAGCACGATAAACGTAGACCTAAAGAAGATTGTGCTTATTCATTTTGAGTCCGACCATAGATTTATGGCTGACATGCTGTGGACAAAAGATCAATACGTCACACGATCGTTGACCGTGGGCTTCGATGATTTCAAGAAATACTTTGGAAGAGTTGACATGCACATGCAAATTTCTTCCGTAAGGAGTTGACCTTTATACTAAGTATTATTATATTATATAAGGAGCTTTTCATGAAACACGTAGACACTATAGGGGAGTGTGAGGGTGGCGAGTGTCTACGTTAGTGTCTAATAATGCATTGTTTGAAATTAGAAACTGGTGTTTTAATATGAAATCCCGTTTTTTTCTTAATATTTATCAACATTAAAAAAAAACTACTACTTCCTAAAATGGTTCATACCGTTTCTTTTGATTGTAAACATCCTGTTTCAATAATGTGTGTACACAAATCGATTCGTTAATGATAGATTCAATCAAGATAATCTTTGTGGGACAGTTATGCGTAGAATTTTAACATGGGACAATTTGGCTTGATGTTGTTTTTATTCAAACCAAGAACATATAATATGTTTTTTCTTTCTATTTTTCAAAGTCTACCTAAAAAAATACTGTTTTATGAACAAACGTGAAAAACATCCAAAAGTAACATGGGACAGATATGCGTAGAACGGCAGTGTACCCCTATCATCACTCTCAACTATGGTATGGTCGTGATACCTTGAAAAGGTGATCGGTAAGGCGATGCGAGGTGAGTGTGATATGTCCTTTACCAGCTCTGGTAGTTGTACCTCTTTCTGGTGGTATCTGAAACTGACCCTAGAGCTCCATGTTTTTTTT